GTGTTTAGCTGCGTTAAGTATACCTTTCTGTGTGAATGGGTTAGTGAGGGAAACCTTATATCACTCTTGGGCAAAGCCAGCCATCTGTATTCTGTCATTACTGTCAGCCACAGACCATATAATGTGTGCAAACTACCATCTAGACACAAACTAGAAATGATTATAAAGTCATTTTGGTCTTGTGCTCAAATACATATACATCACTCAATTACATGAAACAATAACTGATTCAACAGAAAATGCGTTTTTCCTGGAAATTTATTTCTCCTTTATGTCTCGCCAGTGTTCATTTGTGTGTTTTTGATTAAGTCATTGAGACAGAGGAGTTATGGTGGTCGAGAGAGAGCTCAACACCCTGCAACTGAAGAAAATGCATGCAATTAGAAAGAAACACAATATATAAAAAAAAAAACATCTTTATCAGTTTAACAACACTGATGCTAGACATTGAACAATAAGCATGTCCCAGCCAAGTTCGTCACTTTACATTTACATTTATTCATTTAGCTGACGCTTTTATCCAAAGCGACTTACAATTGCTATATATGTGAGAGGTCGCATGCCTCTGGAGCAACTTAGGGGTTAAGTGTCTTGCTCAGGTACACATTGGTGTCTCACGGTGCATTCGAACCCTGGTCTCTCACACCAAAGGCATGTGTCCTATCCACTGCGCCACCATCACTTGTGAGGCCTTGTTTTAGTTGTGGTCTGTGCTATTTGGTTGTGTACTTGCAGGTAAGGCTGGGTATAGACAAATATTTTACGATTTGATTTCGATTCAATTTGATTCGATATCGATTATTTTTGATATATATCAGATACAGTACATTTTCTCAATAACTAATGCTGTAAACTATACATGGCAGTCAGTTGGTACTACATTGCTATAATATATAAAGGTTAGAATTAACTGATTTGTATACAAACACTTAAATTACATTCAAGGACGTTCTTATAATTAAACTAACTTTACAACATAATTATACTCCAATTCATTTTTGGTAATATAGTTTTCTCTATAGGTACATTTTTCTTGCTGACTAATAAGTTTATGGTTATTGAAAATGTTTTTTCTTAGGTAAAGGTCACGTGACATGACACTGCAAGCTGTTTTATTGACGCCTTTCCGCGGTTGAAACACTGATTTAGCGATTATATACGGATTTTGGTAAAATGTTCTGTAACTTTTAACATACCTTCAGATGCTCATTCATGTTTGTTGCTGTAACTCGTACTAAAGCGAAGGAGATGATCAGTTCACGCGTGCACTCTGCGCTGCCCCTCAATTGAGGCACTATGTTGAGGCACGATCTGTCACACCACATTAAACAGCGCCCAAACGGTGTTTATTTTTTTTCATTTCGTTATAAAATTGACATAATTTGAAATCGGAGACTTTGTTGCATATACAAAATAACAAAGCACAAAGCGTATTGCGATTTATTGAATGGGAAGCGACCTACAATGTCCTGCTCATTCGCCGAAAACAGGAGAGACTAATCGACTGTTAGGATTTAAGAATGGATATCGGTTCGGTTCATAAAAATGAGAATCGATTAAAATCGAAAATTCGATATTTTTTTAACCAGCCCTATTTGCAGCACATGTCTTTCAAAAGTCAAAAGTCAGCCTTAATTTGGAATAGAAATCTTTTATAACATTTTAAATGTCTTTACTGTCACTTTTATTAAATCTAATGTATCCTTGCTGAAAAAAAGTATTAATTTCTTTCCAAAAAAATAAAAATCTACCCCCAAACATTTGAATGGTATATACTGTAGGCCTATACTATTAGGTATAATAAAGATGAACAGTGCATGCATGGTCATTGATTAAGCAGTAAACACTTCACATAGGTTGTAGACGTGTTTGTGTGTGTATCCTGAGTTCAGATGACCTGTTCCAGCATGCTTTACCTCCTCTGTAATTACACACTCTTATATGTCTGCTTCATTTATAGTGGCTGGAGAGAGAGAGCTAATCAATCAAAGTCTGACTTCTGTTACTTGCTAGTAGTTAGTCGTCTGCACTGTACGTTGGAGTGTTCTGTAATGGTTTGGAAGTTTAACATGCCCTGTGAATGCTTTTGAACCCCCAAACCTCTTTCTCTCTTTAATCTTTAATACTACTGTTTTCTTTTGTTCCAGACCAGTGACTCAAGATTGTTTTTTGCCTTTTTCTCTCCTTCCGACAGCCATCCTCAGATTAATTAAGAGTATCAGTCATTTTGATCATTTTAGACATGACTGGTGGGAAATTCATGTTATTGCCCCCCCCATTTCCTCTCCCTGTCTTTTACACACAAAGAACACATTCTTACTTCAAATAGATAAAACACACACACCAGTTCCTCCTTCTTGACTCTTCTTAGAATATGAATATTTGAAATTATATTGATCACATTTAACTATTAATAAACATAAATATTCATATTTGTTTCCAAGTGTTTTTTTATAATTCATTTCATAGTGTTATCAGTTTAAAAAATATATTTTTTTGCAGCAAGAACGGTTTTGTTGCAGCATCTGGTTGTATAGCTTGATATTCATTCATTCATGGATTAAGAGTTGAAATGAAAGGCATACCTTCCTCTCAGAAGATAAAGAATGAGAGAAAGAGTGGGAAATGTGGGACTGGAATTGGTCTTGCAGCAAAAAAAAAAAAAAAAAAAGCACAAGCACAAGAGACAGAGATCCTGTCCCTGCTGCGGTGGCTTTTCAAAGAGTGTCACGAGCAGACAGTGATATCCACTCAGCGACAATAAAAGTCAGTGACAGCCGCCTCTCTAAATCCTCATTGACCTGTTATGTATTATTGGCTTTAGAAGGACTTGGCTCTGAGGATCTTTCTCACATTGAGGGTTTAAATGAGGAACAGTAGACCATGATGACATGGAAACAAAACTGTGTTCAGCAAGTTGTGCAGTTTTCCCCCTTTCATTCTCACTTGGGTTGTTTGGCAGTACAGAGAATTCTCACATGAATGAAGAGATGTGTGCTGGGATTATCAGAGCAACAAGATTGAGTTCTGGAAGTATGGTGAAATTGTGTTCAGAAGGTCTTTTTTGCATTCTTGTATTGCATTCTTGAGTATTGTGTTTGGCTCAATGTAAATCTGCCTGAGAATGTTTCCTCGAAGGTAAATGCAATAACGTTTTAAAGCAGGAAAACAACATATGCCATCATTAATGTGGCAGTTCAGTAATCACAGACACTCTTTGTTATGTATATGGACTCAGGAACAATACAGCATGAGACATACCCTGGTGATAAAGGAGAAATAATATGAAACATGAGATGGGTCTTTATTAAAATTATGATATTGTTGCAATAGACTAGGGACAATGTTTTTCAGACTGACTGACGAAGGCAAATATCCTAAAGTATTTTTAGAGTGCAGACCATTTTGTTTTGTTTTTTGAAAGAAAGTAATATTTTTGTTCAGCTAATGCATTAAATTGTTCAGAATTGACAGTGAAGACTTTTATATTACATATTTCCTCTTTTAAACTTTCTGTTCATCAGATAATTGTGTATAATGGTTTACAAAAATATTAAGCAGCATAACTTTTTAAAGCATATTTTCAGTTTTTAGTACAACAACAGGTTCAATCTTTGTCTCAGAGTTAAATATTTTATTGCCTTGAATGCGTGTCTTGTAAGATAAGGAACTAATTCAATTATGTATCTCTGGAGCAAGAGCACAAAGCACTTAAATGAGGAAAAGCGTGAGATCAGGCGACAGAAGCTTCTGCATACTAATCAGAAGTGTTTATATACAGGACATACCCTGCAACCTATAATGAGACAGAGAATTGACAATAATTCTGGCTAGTTTTAGTTTCTGCTGTCCCTCTTACTGCAGCAGTGCTTATACGTACAGTAAATGCATATTTCGTATATGTGTATCTAGTGTTCATCATATCTTAAGCGTTAGATAAAGATTAGCCATCTCTGGATGCAATTTGATGAAATCAATATAAGTTATAAGACCTAAACTTATTCTCCCACTCTCCTCTTTCGACCTCCCCTGGTGAAAAAAATAAATAAAAAATTCAATAAAATTTTACACTTTTAATAAATGTTTTGTTGAATTGAAAAAAGGAATATATTTCAAATAAAATATTCTGTTTTTCACTAGGGTCAGCTACTAAAAATATTTTAACTGAACTTGAACAGACAACCGCATTGAACTTTGTTTAGATTAGGCTGGTGTTCGCAGGACTCTAATCGACATTCCAGGGTGATTCATTGTTTTCTCTTTTTGTTTCTTCTTTTCTCCTTTTTGTTTAGTCTGCTTAATCACATTATGAAGTGTTTGTAGGGATTCCCATTTTGGCTATTCAGTCGTCTTCAGTTCCAGCATACATACTCTCATGATATTTCACTTCTTTATTTCCAGTGAGAGGACTAGAGAGCAAAGTAAATAGAAGGTTTAATTAAACTCTGATCACTGAGTCTCGTTTGCATGAGAATGTGGCCATGTGTATGTGGTTGTAGGTGAATAAAAGAAAGAGATTAGGCACATAAAGAGTGATATAGAGACCACAGAAGTACAAAAGCAGACCGAGATGGGCTGAGTCTCTTGGCTCGCAGTTGAAACCTTTTTTTTCACCTTTCAACTTTCTCTCACAGAAATCATTTGGTGTAACATTGCCATACCTCAGTTTTAACAATAAACCAAGTATCAAGAGTACACTGGACCGTATGCTTTATTACAACTACAGTTAAACAGGCTCATCTGAAAGAAAATTGAGCCATTCTCATAGCAGAGTGCAAGAGGGAGAATAAAAGTGATGCTTTGTGTGTGAATAAACCATATAAAAATGCATAAATGTTTATGGGTGATGTTTCAATTATGAGAGCCAGTAGTGAGATAAAAGTCTGGATTGGATTTGATTCTCATGACCTTTGTAGTTCTTTAGTAACAAAGCTTTGTGTCATTTAATGCCATAATGTGCTCATGTTTATACTTTTGGTTGTTGTTTTGTGCTGTTCCAGGAGCTGCTTATTCAATTCTTCAGGGATGGTCACAGGACGAAGTTGTCACAGTGGAGCTTCTGAGAAGGAGACGTTGGCTTCTCCTGGAGCCGCTTCCAATGGAAAGTAACAAAGCCAGTCAAGACAGCTTGAAGCCTGAGTCTCAGAATTTGCCTGAAATACTGGCTGATGACGACACAGATAACACCTCCCAAATAATGGTAACCTTTAAACTGTAACATTATATATGTATTTTCCTTCCACAGACGTACATGCTCAGCCAGTGGCTGTCAGTATATCACAACTGTTCAGTGTTTTCCAACACATAATGTTTATTTGAGGTTTCAGACATCAAATACAAGTACTAACCATAAAAAAATATGTATTTTGTAAAGGTATTTTTGTATGTTGATGGAAGCAGGAATAATAATCCTTTCAAACATCATTTGACAGTGTTTTATTCACATCAAATACACATTGTAACTATAATGTTTACTCTATTCTTCTACCAGTTCAACTAACATTACCATTGAAAAGGTATTTCAACAACAAAATACATTTACTTATAGATAATTGAGAATAAGAATATCAGAAGTTTCATGATACATTTGAAAAGTTTGTGAGAATTTTAAAGTTCCCCTGACATGAAATTTTCACTTTCTGAGCTTTTTTAACATTAATATGAGTTCCCCTAGCCTGTATATGGTCCCCCAGGGGCTAGAAATTTCAATCTGTGTAAACAGAGCTTTGGCTATCTCTCTCTGCCTTTGAGAAAATGAAATCTCAGACTGGCTGATCTTGAATCTCCCCTGTATAAAGTCATACGGAGGAAAGGTATAACCTCACCTTTCTCTGCTTTGCCCACCCAGAGAATTTGGCTTGCCCATGAGAAAATGAGCTAGGAAGTACAAACGTGCCGGCGCGATTTTAATTTTTCCTCGAGAGAGATCATGTCTTGCAAACGAGCGAAGCATGGCAGTCGATCAGTGTTCGGATGTACACAAGAACACAAAAATATTTTTTAGTTCCTTCATCCGAGCCTCTGAAGAAACAACAGATTAATTTTATTTTCTTTGGAAATGCGCCGACACAACTTCCCAAAGTTTTGATTGGTCCAAACATTTCACCGACGACTATTTCCTCAACTTGGCCACTATAGAGCTTCAAGTAGTTTTACAACAAGTTTTACCCTATTTCTGTCAAGCAGTAACTTCAGGTAATGAATAAATATTTAAATTTTTACATTTTGCAAAAACTGTTTCTTTAACACTCTCTCTCACTCTCACACTCTCTCTCTCTCTACACACACACACACACACAATCTCTGAGAGAGAATTCAATTGAGTGAAAAAAGGTGTAGTTTATTTGTTATGAGAGGAATTAGAAAGAGAGTGAGCAATTTCAGGTCAGGTTCATCCCTCTGAAAAGACCAAGACATCTTCATTAATTATTATTTTCTAGAATTAGATGCTTGTGTGATGGTTTCTGTCATCATTTTCTCACCCTCATGTCATTCCAAACCTGTAGAACCTGACTTTTTCTGCTGTGAAACATAAAAGAAGATATTTTATAATACTTTACCATAAACCTCAACAGTATGCAAAACGGTTACCAACATACAGTATTTCATGATATCTTTTCCTTTATGTTCCACAGAAGAAAGAAAGTCATACATCATACAGGTTTGGAGTTACTTGAGGAAGAGTAAATGATAGTTGCACAGCATGCTGGTCAACAAGCTTGACCTACACTAACCAGCATAGTTGGTCTTAGTTGCTGATAAAACAAAATTAAAAAAAAAATGTTGTACATGTGGTAATTATATCCATATGAAAAACATCACAAGACGATATATGTACACATGTTTCCAGTATTGAATTAGTTTCCAGACATGATTATTACTTCAAAGCAGTGGGAGTGTATACTGTATGTAGATGTTATTTTTTATGTCCACTGGCTGTTTCCTTTGATGTTGTTTTACAAAGTCTGTGTGATGGAGTTTTTGAGTTTGAACTACCAGCTCCTGTATACAAACACATTCCTGTATAAACACGCAATACACACATACACCCATACACCAGGTGCATCATTTATTTCACACATACTTCTGTCTTTTTTATTTTTATTTTGCTTGTGTTGTTCAAAGGCCTGAATTTCTATTGTTGTTTAATGACATGGCCTCAGGCTTTAGTTTAGGCTTTTAGGTTTTAGTTTTAGCTTTAGCCTTAGCTTTCAGGTTTTAGTTTAGTGTCACTCTGATGGTTTTGCTCTTTATGAGATTAAATTGTCAGAGATTACATATCTTATATTTACCTCTCCTTCACTCTGACACATTTCTTTCTTTCTGATATTGTATTATTCATATTGTTCAATGCAGATTTCCTGAGTGCCAGGATGTTTGATAAGACGCTTCAAACATCTACAGTATGAGTTTTATCAAGGGTTTTCTTCCCAGGCTTTACAGACAGCCTTACCATGCTCAGTAAACAACAATAGATCAATACGAGGATTTCATTAACACTCAGAAGGTCATGTGGGTCTTCGTCTTTTTGATTATTAGTTCATCAAACATCATGTCTTGTACTCACAAAGCAGATGTCCTCATAGTATAAAGATATATTTTTAGCCTTTTTGCCTTTATCATGACAGGAGAGCAGAGAGGGGAGGACTCAAACTCGAGTCATCCGCAGTGCTGTCATGAATGATCATGTCACAATTATGGTTTGGTCATGTGATCAGGGATTTTTGTCACGCATTATGCTAATTGGTAGATGAAATATTAATTTTGGTTCATATTTAAAACCCACAAGTTTTTAATAATTGGATCCCTGATGACAGTTCTTGTAGAAAATGATTTGTAATGGTCAGTAAATTAAGGGATACAATTTCCTTTTAGTTGATTTTCTTTTCGTGAGTTGATTGTTTTCTTCTATCACAGTCCAAATTGTTGTACTGTGAACAATCAGCAGTGATTGGTTGTTTCTGCTGGCACTCAGATGTTCCATCCATTTGCTTGGCAGATGTAACCTGTAGACCTGTTTATTTATTTAAAATGTCAAAGTTTTCGGAGTGTCACTTTTTTGCTTGTATATTGACATAGCAGGTACATCTGATCGCAAGTATGCGCGTTCGCACACAAATCCACACACATCTACACTTCTATAAACACGTCTCGATCCCTCGTTTTCCTTTTTTCTTTGAACCCAGCCATGTTGTGGTGAACAAAGAGGGAAAACTGGGAAAGAACTCAGGTGACCCTTTTGCTGTTTTGATGTCGTCATATAATCCAGACAGAGGCTGGAACACCTCTATAGACACAGCTGATCAACACTCGGTTCATTAAACCTCTCTGTGTCCCTCCTAAATATGTTGTAAATATTGAAAATGCATACAAATGGAGATTGTGCAGTTTATTGTAAACATGCCTATGTGTGCTCATATTTTCTTTCAGGAGAGAGTTTGGTTTTGTTTTTAATACTGACAGACCTGAAATAGTTTTTGTGATTTAATAATCAGAATGGGTTCATGGCCCCTGGTTGTAGAAAGCTTGCCACCCACTGTGTTTATTAATAGTTTATTAAAGTGATAGTTCACTGAAAAGTGCAAATTTCTTTCGTTTAACACTGTTGCACATCATCATGGTCTGTTCCAGACCTTTATGATTTTCTTCTCAGTAAGTGTTGTGTCCTTTATCCTGACTGGCTGTCTGATATTTCCTTGTAGGAAGACACAGATCATAACTACTACACCTCAAAAACGTATGGCCCCAGTGATCCTATGAGCAAAGAATTATGGGTAAATATCGATCAGATGAACAAGGAGAAGGTGAAGATTCATGGCATCCTGTCTAATACACACAGACAAGCAGCGGTAAGATGGCATTCAATCATTCATTACACTCAAATCATTTGAAATGCAACTCATATGTAGCTCCACTGACCAAGATTCAAGTTCAGCAATAACTGTTTTCTATCAGCCATGTTCCTTACTACAACAACACTTTGTATAGCGAGTTTTCCACCTGTACTGTTTTTTCGGACGAGCTTGTCTACTTGTGTAGATTATGAAAGAAACAGACCAAGTGTCGATTCTCAAATACCACATTTCTCTGAAATGGGATAAGGTTTTTGGTGTGTCGCCATCCTGTTACTGGAACAGACTGTGATATCCTAACATTGCACTTTCCAAACAAAAGAAACCACAGCGGACAAGCAAGCGTACCATAGATTTAGGACAGAAGTAACATTTTTTAGCAGAGTTATGTTTGCTTTAGCCGACCACAGAATGAGTCCATGGGGTCCATCTGGATGTACACTTGCTGTAGGTTTTATTACAATAATGGCCTTCTGTCGTCATTTTATATTTATTCTGTTTAGATATTTGTATAATTGCAAGCTAAATTTAGTCTTTTTTTCATCCTCAGCGGGTCAATCTCTCCTTTGATTTTCCATTTTATGGGCATTTGTTGCGAGAGATCACTGTTGCAACCGGCGGTAAGTGAAGTGTCTTCCTCCACGTGATGTGTGCAGCACAAGCAATGATTTTCAATTAGGTTATAAGAAAGTGTCTGCCTGTCTCCACGCGATATGAGTAATGCTGTAGCAGAACATATGATTTATATGAGCTTCCAGAGGAATATATAATTGATTGGTTTTTGCTTGTAGGCATAGGAGCTTTACTGTGAGCCACACTGTTCTCGAGGATCTGTGTTTATCAGCTGTGAGAGGTTCTTAATAACGGCTGACTGTGCATGCTGTACGGTAGATATGAGGGCATTTGTGGGGATTTTTATTATGATCGTGGTTCATGTGACTCACTGGCTCCTGGAATGTGTCTGAGATGAAGCGGTGAGAGTGAGGGAAAGACAGAGTGAAAAAAACACCATATAATTTCCCCCTACATCAAACATCTTTCTGTGGTTATAAACGATGAAACACTGAAGTGATCTAAATTTCTCAGTGAAGCCATGTTCGCAGGAGCAAAAAATCATGTGCTCCTGCATCAGAGGTACTTTCCTGCCTAAATAACATAATAATAAACAGCACTGGAAAATGTTCGCTAAATTATTAAATTATTGGATCATCTATTTACAGTAAATAGCTATGCAAATTGCCCATCTTTTTGGCAAAGGCTGTTTGCACTAACTCCACCCAGCATTGTCTTGTGATGTAACCAACCCATTCAAATACACATTATCTCACTTCAGCTGGAATTATGTTTAAACTACATTATTTTTTATAGTGTACTACAATACACTGAGGTGCAAATAGTTTCTCTATTTGCTTTTGCTATTTATACTTATATGTATAAAAGTTTAAGCCTAATGGTTGTCTTTGGGACAGTAATCAAGTGGTCAAGTTGTTGTTGTTGTTGTTAGAGTTGTTTAGTACTGTGAGAGTACAATGGTACAGTCAGGGAATTAGATGGCAATGGCAAACTGTTGTCACAATTTGTGAAGTTTCGGTATTTTTTAATTGAATTTAATGAGTTTTTAAGTGCTTTCTGTGTTCACAGAAAGTGGATGTGGTCAGCATAGTCCAGGTTGGCTGAATTCCTGTGGAAAGATTTGCATTGATTTAAGCAGACAAATGCTGAGGACACATTTTAGATTATGTGTGTTTGGAAGGGCATTTCTCCTGTTTGTGAGTCTGATGGAATGGAAGGAGGCCTATATTTGACTAATTAGAGTATTAATCACTTTGGAGACAGGCCAGGGCTGTTTGCCAGGATAAATAGATGGAAAATGAGGAGAGCACAGAGATTTAGAAGAAAGAGACCCACATGTTCATACATTGGTGCCAAAAACATTTTAGTCATAAAACAATTGAGTGCCCTTATCTTATCTTGAAGATCACATGGATTGTGTGTGTTTGTGTGACTTTTCAGGGTTCATCTATACAGGAGATGTGGTTCACCGAATGTTGACAGCTACACAATATATCGCTCCACTTATGGCAAATTTTGACCCCAGCCTCTCCAGAAACTCAACTGTCATCTATTTTGACAATGGTAAGAGACAGACGCACTGGATTGTGGGGAGTGTTTGTGTATGTGTGTTTGTGAGATACTGAGAGACAGAGAGTGCCCTGTCTGACAGAAATGTATAGTGGAAATATATAATGGTACAGAAATATCCAATATAAATCTGTCAGACATACCAATCTTCAAATATGCACACCCATCAAAAACATTGTACCTTGACTTGTCATAAATCAAATGCATCACATTATAGATCAGGCTATCTTTTCAAGATGCTATTGATTACAGAGGTCTACAGTCACAGAAACCAAGCCTGCATTATCAGTAGAGAATATTAATATTAAATATACTATTAAATATTAGTTGAATGTGTTTGTGTGCGCTTTATAGGAACTGCTTTGGTTGTCCAGTGGGATCACGTCCATCTCCAGGATTCTTATAATCAAGGAAGTTTCACCTTCCAGGCCACATTATACAGCGATGGGCGAATTGTCTTTGCCTACAAAGAGGTCTGATATATATTTTTGAATTTCATCCTCCATATGAAGAGTTCAGATGCAAAAGCCTCTAAATGCCATTTTAAATTTTCTTCTTTAATAATGATTTTTATCAAACTTGTATATTTAAGTTCAGTAATTTCACTTAAATAACAATTAATAGGTAATTATCATTGCCATTTAAGTGAAATCACTGAACTTAAATATACAAGCTTGATAAAAATGATCATTCTAGAAGAAAATTTCAAATGGCATTTAGAGGCTTTTGCATCTGAACTCTTCATATGTCTTTCATCCTGTTTTCTATTTGTCTGTCTCCCTGTGTGACTTGGCTCTTCTGTGATTACATCCTGTTCCATCAGAGTTTGTGTGATTGTGTCACTTTTCAATTTGCCACTTACAGACACGGTCAGGTACCGTGTAATGTCAAAGTGAAATGTAACCGATATGGTTAAGACTTTCCTGTTTTAGGACAGATCATGTGCAGTCAAATGTGACATAGTACTTGAGATGCGTGAATCACCTTTAGTCATTAATCAAAAAATATTTAAAAATGTATGTAGAATAATAACAATTGTATGTGTAATCATTTTATAAATAAAGATTAAAATATGTATGACTGAAATATGTAAAGAAATGTTGTAAGCCTCTAGTTAGAAGGCATTGGAAATGCTGCTGGGATTTATTTGATTATTACAAAGCTCATTCAGCCTGCAAACCTCCTAACTAAATTAAGCATCTCCCTCCTTCCCTCCTCTCTCTCTCTCTCTCTCTCTCTCTCTCTCTCTCTCTCTTTCTCTTTCTTTCTAGCTGTCAAAATTTATTGATGATTGATGAGATAAATAATATGTGCTTTTATTTCAGGTCCCAGTGCAGATATCAAAGATCAGCTCTGTCAATCATCCAGTGAAAATTGGGCTTTCTGATGCCTTTGTGGTGGTCCATAAGATTCAGCAGATCCCCAGTGAGTGAACGTGATGCATTCATCATAACACAAGTAAACCATCTGCAGTCTGTATGACAGGTGCTATTCAGAAAACTGGGAGTATGTTTGTTCTGACAGTCAGTTACCTCTGGGATGATCTCAACGCTCCAATCTCCTCCCTTCTCAAGCTGTCTGTTTGTTGTCTGGTGTGCCAAGCAGAAAAAAGTCTTTGATGTTGTAGTAACATTGAGCCCAGCAGGACCAAACCCGACTGCGCTGGAGAGACAAATTTAGCAAATAAATATGTCTGGAGGTGGGCAGTGAGCGAGTGTGGAAGAGATCGGGAGGAGAGAAGGTGTTTGCTGTCAGGACATCATGAATGGAAGCAAATGATTTTCCTTGACAGCTTATTCTTTTGTTTGTGACTGTCTGCTGGGAAAGGGCAGGATTTGCATCATTCTGTCTGTTTATCTGTCTGTTACAATATGAGCGAGAGAGAGAGAGAGAGAGACAGCTCTGAGGGGAAGGAGAGACTCTAGAATGAGATGAAGTGATTGAGAATAGCCTGCGTTGGTCTTGCCTCTCTTTCACTAATTAGTGTCTGGAGACTCATCAGGTCACACTGTTTAAGATGCACGTGCACTCACATGCATTTCTCCAGGCAATATCAGCATGCTAAGGAGTTTTGTGACACCCCATGGGCAAGAAATGTAATTACCCACAGGAAGAGAAAAACAGCCTTCAAAGAACAAGCTGCAATTTCCTGTCTTAAAGTTTAACCGCTCTTTTATGTATTAATACACCAAAGATGCAGCTTTCAGCAAGGTCAGACAGTTACTTCCTCAGCTGCAGACAGACGCACATTCATGTTATCAGAGAAATTTTACCTCACCGTTCACGTTCAGCCAGAGGCTGACACATGAAAAGCCATATACACAAACACATTTTGGTTTTTTTTTTTTTTATTGACGTTGCAAGACATGAAATACACTTTTGGTCATGTTATACAACATATTTGTCCTTGTCCTACATCATCATTTCTTTCCAAAATGAAACAGAAAATCAATAATAAAAAATAAGTAAATAAATAAATAAATAAATAAATTAAAAACATGGTAGCAAGAACAAAAACAGGGGAGTGCCTCAGGTATTATGAATCAGACAAAGTCTGATCTTATTGTTTGAATAAATTTCAAGAATCCATTCCACAACATTTTGGTTTTATTCTATGGAGGACATTGTTTTTATACAGAGGTGACACTTTTATACAGAGGTGACCCAAACGCTTAACACAAACCTGTAGGTCAAGTAAAAACAAAAAGCGATTTGCATGATTAATGAGACTTTCAAAAAGCTTGGACCCCTAAAAAGGTTTTTGAATTTTGAAGTATAATCAAACCTGTACACACATACACATGTAGAAAGCTTGCTATATTACCCAGCCTCTTCTCATTCTAATTCAGTTTTCCATTTCACTGCTTAGGTAATTCAGCTACCAGTCACGTAGATGATGTTTCACTGATTGCACCAGTATGTGCAGTTATATATCTATTCCGTACATGCATTTGATCCAGCGTGTGTCAATAATGGGTGGCTTAACTTAAACTCAAAGACTATGACAGTAAGCCTATATACTGAAATACCTTCAGATGAAGCACATCAAACTAATGTTGGTTGATCAGCCAATGATTTTAACTTATGAAAAGTCATGTCCTTAGAAACTGAGTATGAGTACTGAATAACTAATGTATAATAGTATACTCATTGCATTTTTTAAGAGTAATGATTGTTAGAGATGCCAAAGACAGGGAATCTTTTTAAATTATGTTAGTAAACACACAGCTCTTTTTTGGAAACTACTTTTGGGAAGAAAAACGTTTCCAAAAAAGATTAAAAATAAAGATTAAAATATGACTGAAATATATAAAGAAATGTTGTAAGCTTCTAGTCTGAAGGCATTGGAAATGCTGCTGGGATTTATTTGATTATTACAAAGCACATTCAGCCCGTAAAAAAAACTCAAAAATTAAAATGTTTTGTAAAAAAAATTGAATCATACATCCCATTAAAAGAGCGTTTGATACCTTTACATGCATTCAGTGCACTTTGCTGCTTCATTCAGTTGTCCACTCAAATGTGGATTTGTCTGTCTCTAATGACCACAAACAATTTTACTTCTATTACAGTTTTTTTTACAGTTCTTCTATTTCAGTTTTTCACAGTCAGTAATTCATACTGTAACATTCATTTGTTCATTGTGTCAAGTTACAGTTCGTTTGAAATAACAAACCTGTTCACCCGAAGGAACACTGACTCGACATGTGTTAGAAGTGTTCACGTCTTGCTTTCTACAGCTACCAGCCGTTGCCTAGCCCAAGACCCATGTGCAAAGTGTATTCTTACAATACATATCATGTCCCAACAATGACACCCACATTATAATTTTAAAATAAGATGCACACAAATACCTTTGGCAGTCCCCAACGCGACTACCCAGAAGCGTTTGGCATTTAGTCCAACCCTTTAGCTCAGCTGTACACACAAATTTAACACAAACGAACAAAATTAATACTCTGTTATTCAAATAGAGTTGTTTAATTTGTTATAGATATATCTATACTGCGAAATGTTTTAAAAAGACAATTTTTTAATTACATAGGTTTAAAATAATTAGCGTGTATATTTTATTTGTAAACTAATGCCTTATTAGTTCTTTTTAATCAACTTATTTTCAGATCTTCAGTCATCAAAGCTCAGTAAACACTGCAGGTGTCACAACGGTCACAGACACAGGATGTATCTTGGCTATTATCATCAAGCTGAGACTCGAGCTCACTAAAAAAAACTCACTGATCAAGTCATTTCAAGTTTGATTTGGACATGATATAAAGTGGTGATATCAACAGTATGTGAGTTGTATACTTTATAAATAGTCTTCGTACTAACACCATTGTTTATAAATTTAGACCGATTTTCTGATATAGAAAAAGCATGAAAAATCAGATGTGGGATTATTGTGTGAACAGCAACAATGGAGCCATTGTCTCCTCTAATGTAACTTACCCACCAAACCCACGACACACTTTAGGGCATCTGTTAAAACTCAATTGATTTAAAGGGATACTCCACTTTTTTTTGGGAAAAAGGCTCATTTTACAACTCCCCCAGAGTTAAACAGTTGGGTTTTACCATTTTCAAATCCATTCAGCCGATTTTCTGATATTTAGAAGAATATCAGTAACCAGACAGTTTCTGGTCTCATTGACTTCCATAGTAGGAAAAAAATATACTATGGAAGTCAATGAGACCAGAAACTGATAATGATAGTGATACTGAGTTGTAAAATGAGCCTATTTCCAAAAAAGGTGGAGTATCCCTTTAAGGGAGGCAAGAGATGCTTTTAACCTCTGCTGTCAATGTATAAATCACTCCTTTTTCTAAAGTGACACTGTCCAACACATCTTTTAGTAATATTCGCATTCATTTATTTTCTAGTGTGGATGATTTTCTCATCCAATTTTTTGACAAGGCACAGGTTACATTGCCTCCTCAGAGGAAACACACCTGCATTGGTAACATGAAGCCACATAACAGACTCTTTTGTGCAATTAAAATAACTGTAAACGGCTGACACTTTTCCATTAATAATGGCCATGCCCACTCTTAAAGTAAAAATTAGGTGGATTAAACAAGTGAAAGTACTGTAAATGTGTTGAAGATAACAACTAAGAGGCAGTGCGAAAAAAATGAGATTACTCTTTCTCGATCTGCTTGTTACAGAAGTTTCAGCAATTCAAATGATTCACATGATTACATAATTGTAATGTGTATTTGTGTGCCTCTAGATGTGCGGAGGAAGACTATCTATGAGTATCACAGAGTGGAGCTGTTAAAGACCAAAATTACCAACAGTACAGCTGTAGAAATATTGCCGCTACCCAGTAAGCCATTGAACACACACACACACACACACACACAGGCTATATACACTCACCGGCCACTTTATTAGGTACACCTGTCCAACTGCTCGTTAACACTTAATTTCTAAGCAGCCAATCACATGGCGGCAACTCAGTGCATTTAGGCATGTAGACATGGTCAAGAAAATCTCCTGCAGTTCAAACCGAGCATCAGTATGGGGAAGAAAGGTGATTTGAGTGACTTTGAACGTGGCATGATTGTTGGTGCCAGAAGGGCTGGTCTGAGTATTTCAGAAACTGCTAATCTACTGGGATTTTCACGCACAACCATCTCTAGGGTTTACAGAGAATGGTCCGAAAAAGAAAAAACATCCAGTGAGCGGCAGTTCTGTGGGCGGAAATGCCTTGTTGATGCCAGAGGTCAGAGGAGAATGGCCAGACTGGTTCGAGCTGATAGAAGGGCAACAGTGACTCAAATAACCACCCGTTACAACCAAGGTGGGCAGAAGAGCATCTCTGAACGCACAGTACGTCGAACTTTGAGGCAGATGGGCTACAGCAGCAGAAGACCACACCGGGTGCCACTCCTTTCAGCTAAGAACAGGAAACTGAGGCTACAATTTGCACAAGCTCATCGAAATTGGACAATAGAAGATTGGAAAAACGTTGCCTGGTCTGATGAGTCTCGATTTCTGCTGCGACATTCGGATGGTAGGGTCAGAATTTGGCGTCTACAACATGAAAGCATGGATCCATCCTGCCTTGTATCAATGGTTCAGGCTGGTGGTGGTGGTGTCATGGTGTGGGGAATATTTTCTTGGCACTCTTTGGGCCCCTTGGTACCAATTGAGCATCGTTGCAACGCCAAAGCCTACCTGAGTATTGTTGCTGACCATGTCCATCCCTTTATGACCACAATGTACCCAACTTCTGATGGCTACTTTCAGCAGGATAATGCGCCATGTCATAAAGCTGGAATCATCTCAGACTGGTTTCTTGAACATGACAATGAGTTCGCTGTACTCAAATGGCCTCCACAGTCACCAGATCTCAATCCAATAGAGCATCTTTGGGATGTGGTGGAACGGGAGATTCGCATCATGGATGTGCAGCCGACAAATCTGCGGCAACTGTGTGATGCCATCATGTCAATATGGACCAAACTCCCTGAGGAATGCTTCCAGCACCTTGTTGAATCAATGCCACGAAGAATTGAGGCAGTTCTGAAGGCAAAAGGGGGTCCAACCCGTTACTAGCATGGGGTACCTAATAAAGTGGCCGGTGAGTGTATATACACATATATAATCTTAAACTACCATAAAAACATAAATAGTAATTACCTCATAGCTAATAGAAGCTTATACTGTTTTGCTTCTTATCTACAAAATCAGATATTATATTAAACATTTCTCTCATCATATGAAAATCCAGTTCATTGTCCTGTTAGCCTTTTGCTCTATTCTTGATTGATTCTGCGCTGAAGTATCTCTTTTTTTTCTTTTGCAGCATGTCTTCAATTCACAAGCTGCACTTCTTGCTTAGCATCACAGATTAACTTCAACTGCAGCTGGTGTCATCGGCTCAATAGGTAAGAAAACAAACTGCTCTTCATCCGTCTCTCTTTCCATTATCCCAACTTCATTTTACTGAAATTAAAGTTCTCACTTCTTGAAGTGGTGCAATGAACGAGGGGAGTAATTTCTTTTAGCAGTTGCTGAAACGAAGCACTCTCAACACAGCCATTCACAAGATGTGTGGAGATAATTCACCACTTCTAATTCAGCAGTCACAATGTTACAAGATTGCCTTTGTATATAAAAATGGCCTAAAAATTGAAACGAATTGTAAACATCATGTGCAAACCATTTACAAAATCTCTCTTGCATCTTGCATCGCATTTTACCTAAGTAATATTGCTTCCAATGTGGCAGAGAATCTTTCACACCAAGACTTTTTTTTTTCCTTAATGTGAGAAAGAGGGAAAATAAAGTTACATTCCTGCTGATTCATGGCTGGGCTCTCACCTCCCGAATCCAGACAGCTTTTTTTCTGTAGATCACATACCAAAGAACAGAACCGAGACAGCTGACCTCCTTCTGCTTTATTTTCCTGGCAATCCTTCCATCGGTCTACTCTTTCAATCCCTCACTCTCATTCTCAAGCACATACGCACCCACACACATGCATACACATACTATAATTTCCCAGTTGGAATATAATATCCCAGCTGACGTTCATTGTGAGATTTGGACTTTGATTGGCAGAGAGAGGAAAAAGGCCAGTTCGCTTGTGTAAGAGGAGTTTAACTTTTTCCCTTTATCAAGTGCATATGTGCTGCACACATTTTTTTGAGCTGTAGCATTTCTAGCGCTATTTATTATTCTATGAATGGGGAGGGAGTTCAATACAGACTTCATCAATATGCATAACCATTTTTGTTTGGCTGAAGGTTATGGAAACAATGAAGAGTTAGAAATTGCTGCGGTAATTAAAGTTTTTTTTGGCTTGATGAAGGCTGTGTGTGAGTGAGAGAGAGAGAGAGAGAGAGCATGCTAATGTTACACTAAATGCAGATAGCTCATAGCTCAGATGATTTAAGCTAATAACTGACTGTCTGAGCGTCCCAACGCAATTTATCAACAATTTACCCCTTGTCTTTGGAGAGAGGAGTTGTTGAAGTGAGATGCAGTTGACTTGACTAACACACACACTCATACACACATCGCTATCTTTGTTGGGACTCTCTATAGGCGTAATGGTTCTTATACTGTACAAACTGTATAAACTTACTAACCCTACCCCTAAACCTACCCATCACAGAACACTTTCTGCATTTTTACATTTACAAAAATGCATCATTTATTATGTTCATTAACTCACTGGGTCCTCACAATGTAATATAAACCTGCACACACACACACACACACACACACACACACACACAAAACAATCTGTAACAGAACAGAATAGTATCATGCTATAGCAGGGTGTTTCATGTAATATCTTTCATAATTTAATATTCTGAAGTAATTCAATTACTTTAACCGATGAGTGTATTGGTAATGATGATTATGTGCATCAAAAACCTAGATTTGCATACTTGGAAAAGCATCCTTTCCTCCTCAAGGTCAGATTATTACTGGATCAGAATAAATTTGAGCTGACTGCATTTACAGCCATTAACATGTAAATGAGATTATGAAAGGTTGGAGAAGTGCTGACGAAGGATGTGGCCGCCGCCATAGGCAACCTCAAATCCAGACAGATATATTTCTCTTTTACTTGTCTTCCTTCTTGATTCATCAGGGCTCGGGGTACTGCTTGGGAGATGAAATTAAAGCAGACATAATGACCATGCCAAAGCTATAAAAGTAAATTACACAAAATCAAATTTGTTTACTAAATAATTAAATCATTTGAAATCTAGTTTGTACATTTTGCACTTTCGTCAATTCAAAAGCTTTGTATTATGTCATTTGTCATGTTACTTTCTCCCTAGGGATGCACCTATATAAATCTGGCCCGATAAACTGATAATTTCTACAAAAACCACAAATAAATTTAAGGATCACAATATCAAAATGGACAGGATGAAAATTAACATTCATAGCTTTTTTAAAGATTACTGTGCACTCATACTACCTTGTATTAATAACTTTTTGTATTACTCATTAACAAGTTGTTTTGGGTAAAAGATGAATGAACGAATGTGAAGGAAATTCTGCCACCACAAGAGAGCAACAAAAATCTCTTGCAAGGCCAACAGTTGTATTCATCATTGGCCCGTAGAGGCTGATAGAGGCCATAGAAGTAAGTGTGTGTGTGTGTGTGTGTGTGTGTGTGCACACGCAGAGCTCTGCTTCCTCTTTGTGGGTCATGAAATCTCTAATCCAAAGCTTTCAGTTTGACATGCACTATTGTGCCTAACCACTGGCCATGGCTCTTCTTTCAAAAGAGCACGTCATGTGTTTAAAGCAGTGTCTTGTGTTTGATGACTCTCTGACTCTCACCCACTCCTTTACTAGAGCCGAGTTAAAAATGCTGTTGAGACACAAGGTTTCCATAGACTGTCGGTTTATATTACCTTGTTGGATAGATGAAACAATTTCTTCCATGTTTACTTAATAGTTTTGTCCATTTATATCAACTTCTGTATAAAGGATTCTTTGTTCTTTGATTTTTGTTTACAGTGACAAGCCATGACAACCAAAATAAAAATCTCATACAAACACGCACACATAAAATGAACATGGTTTACCATCTGTGACTGGGAAACAAAAATGTGTTTTCCAACCCTAATATATCAGCAAGAAATAAGGAGAGAGCTGATATGAATGTGTATATGGTGAATGGTACTGAACAGAAAAGAGATAATGTCGCAAAAAGATAGATGGAGAATGGGGAATTGGTAAAAGAAATGGAGTAAGGGTGACTATCTCATCTGGAATGCCAAGCAGCCAAAGCCCATTGTGTGCTATTCTGTGTTCAAGAAATGTGAAGACAGGGGAGGAGGAAAAGAAATACTAGCTGTACTGCCTATTCCTGACTTTCTAAGCCAGCATTTATCAGTATACTGCTGTGGACAGTCCTTAGTATATTACAGGATATTGAATTTCCTGTTCTGGGCCACTGTGAAGTGTGTTTTTAACAGAAGTTTGATGGAGGACTCGTAAATGAAAATTCATGTTTATGATTTACTCATTTTTAAATCCCGTAAGAAGTATTTTTTTCCTGGAACACACACTTTATTTATAGTTTTTCTTAGAAGAGTGAATACTTCATAGGATTTCCCTGCATTGGCCACGAACGGATCTGGAAAAGATGGAGATCATGTTTGCGTGTTTATTGGCTGTCTTTAAAATCCTAATGACCTGTTATAATTTTTCATGTCAGGTGTTCCAGCGGCTTTGATCGCCATCGGCAGGACTGGGTGGATAAGAGTTGCCCAGATGAGGTTTGTATGTGGATGTGTGTTGCCTTCATGTGTGTTGCCTACATGATAAGGATACCATATACTCTCTCTATCTCTCTCTCTCTCTTTCTCTTTCTCTTTGTCCTTCTGCCTTTCTAAAATACGGCTTGAACAGTGTAGCCGACTAAGTAATGTAGAATATTCTCCGGTCGATTTGGGGAATTTGTATACAGTAATTAATAATTGATCATTAATAATTATTCATACAGGTTTGGACCAGATCAATCATTTGGACATCAGTCATTTCTTACTTAAGTTAATTTTTCATCTCTATTTTTTGTGTTTATTTAAAATTAGACAAATCTGATATTATTTTAAACTCCAATCTGTTGTTTAACAGTTGACATAGTTTTTTAATGCTTCGCTAACTAGCAGAAGACACTAGCAGGGTTTAAACCCCAGTTGTGCAGTTGGGGCATGTTAACACTGCATTACAATGTGCCCCTATTAGAAATATGAATTGTTTTCTATACTTTTATGAATTCTATTGAGAAAACTTAACATGTAAATAAGACTGAGAGTCAATGTTCATAAATTATTAATTATTATTTTGTTTTGAACTATGCTGTATAGCTGTGTTTTCCGGAATGTTTGTTGTCAAACTCAAAAATTAGTATATTTTTAATTATTAAAAAAATGCCATTATTTTATATGAAAAAGTTAATAAAAAGAAATTCTTTTTTTCCCCAAAAGAAATTCTACTGACTATAAAGAACATTGCAACTAGGCTACATGATGCCGTATTAACCTTATTAACACCTAACCCAAATCTAACAGTCTAATACAATCTACTAATACTCTTGTAGTTGCGAAGTGACCATTGAAATGAAGAGTAAACATTTTTATAACAGTTTTTATTTTTTAATTGCACTAACTTAACATGTTAAATCGACAGCCCTAGTTTTTAGATAATGAAATATTGTCTGCAATGCGGTGCCAGGCGCGACAAGGCCAACATAGTTATCATTTTCACAACCTGCACCACATTGTTCAAAAAGCAAATGCATTTGCAACTATTTGTGTGCCCATGGCCGTGTGGGTCAGAAAACGAGGTGCGTTCAGGCACATTGTTGGTGTGTTGCTATTTTGAGGCAACTGAAATAGACTGGTCTAAAGTCAATCAGTATTTATTTATTTTTGTTATTTAAAAGGCGCATTAGTAATGTGCACCTATATAGGCAGGTGCACAGCGTGCTTACACTCTGTGTATTTCCCACACAGGGACCCGCAGCAGCACACAAACATGCCAAATATTAAGAATAAAAGGATTACAGTGTAAAAGATTATTATTGTGTACATAAAGATATGGTGGAATCCGTAGATGGGACGCCGTAGACTTGTCCCGTAGATGGGACGCACTTTGACCTCGCGCACAAGCAGATCCGTTTATAAGCTAGAAAAGCGTTCAGTCTTTCCGCTTGCAAATTCCGCCATGTACTGTAAATAATGAATCCGCCATGGTGTGTACAACTGGCTTTTAAAGGGAATGGAAGATGAGCCTCTGATTGGTTTGTTGCACGTTACGCCACAAACTAGTAATGGACACCCATTACTCATTAAGAGAATAGTGACAACTTAACCGTACTTTAGATTTGTCAGATTGATCATTTAACCTGTCTTTCGTCCGCAGACAAAGGATAACACCTGTGACATCATCAACACTACCAATCTCAATCTACTGACCACTGCGTCCACTGATAACATTACCACAAGGAACAGAGGGACTTCTCAGGGTCACTCTACTCAAGCCCCATCGCACATGCCGACCAGCATACCAACAGAAGGTACTGTCGTTCTTAAACCAACACACATACCACTTAAGATTGAATTAATATGGATCATGAAACTGACGTTACAATCCTCTGACAATAGGAAACCAACGGGTCAATGATCTAAACCAATAGTTACTAGTGACTGCTCATGGTAAGAATGCAGCAGGATAATGTTAAGAGGCCACCAATGGGTTCTTCATAAATTAATAGACATGGAAAAAGAAAGGCTTATTTGTGCTTTATGAGTCTATGAATGTTCTGAGTTGAAGAACAGTTAGAATGTAGCTGAAGGGTTTACTCAATCTCTCTTTAAATAAAGACTGTCACTTACAAAGAATATAAACTGAGAGTATATACCTCTTATCCATATACCTCTTAACTGTCATATACCCTTAACCTCATGGCATGCTGTGTGCTTTGTTCTGTTTTTCTCTGTGATAGGCACAAACACATTATCAGACAGTAAACAACACAGCATAAATTATCAATCTCATCTCTAAATTATGAATACACTCATAAATATTTAAAATATAGAGGGGCAATAGCAGTACCCAAACTTTAGCACAAGAAATGAAACTCTTTTTTTTATCACTTTTCCTACTTGTTTATCTAGTTCACAACTTTTTGTTGTTGTTTTTCCGCTTCTAATTATTACTCGGGCATTGAGCAGTTCAGCTGTCAATGTAACACGTAACCAAATATGTCCAGGGACAAGTTTTTTGTCAGTTTGAACTGAGAGCAAAAATACTGTGTGATGCCACAAAGTCCCAGCCAATGAGAACATATTTGAGGTTTAATGCACATTTATGAGGAGCGGGGCTTTACAGGCCAGTGAGATGGTTTTGAGCTATATAGGAAGCTGTATATAAAAGATGATGTTGGTATTTCATGTTTGTATTTGTTTCTGTCATATCTTAAAATGAAATGCAGTCTTGATCCCTTTGCACTACTTTTCTTTGTTTTTACAGGCAGGGAAAGATCTGGCTAGAAAGATTATATTAGTCTCAGGAGTTGCCAGAAGTCCACTTAAAGTGATTAAGTGTAGTACATGAAACAATCTGTTAATCATTAACAGTTTCTCAGATTTCTCAATAAGACAGTGAGTTATGAGGTCATTGAAAAGGCATGAAACTCTTGTTTACACACTCTTTTCTTCATCCCTCATTGATTACTGAATGTTTTTTCATTAACAACTCGCTTAAGTTATTATGACAACAAAATTAAAAAGCTGAGAGATCCATATTGAATAGTCAATAATGGTCAAATGCCGCATCTGAAGTACATTTTACTATAAAACTGTGACATTGCTATAAACTGTAAAATGGGGTTAAAGGATAGCACACAAAAATAAAAAATTCTTTCACCCTCATGTTACTCACCGTTATGTCATTCCAAACCTGTATGATAATCTTTTTTTTTTAAACTCAAAAGTAGTTGTTTTGAAGAACGAATGTCGGTCATTTTGGTTACCACTAACTTCTTTTTTTTTTTTATTATTATTTTTTTTTTATTTAACAGTCAGACATACATACAAACAAACCAATATAGTGCAGTAGTGAGCAATCTTGTAAATCCATAATTCCAGCAGTGGCAAGAGTGATTTAAGTGTTTGATCTAAGTGTGTAAGTGCGCGTGTATGAGCGTGGGTATGTGTATGCGTGTGTACATAAAGTAACCATTTATTATTTATTACCATTGTCATTACCATCACTCCCCACTACCACCATACTGCCCATATTGTTTTTGTAGATTTTTATTTCCATCCTTCCTCCTATGTAACAATTGCCATTGTCAATCCTGTACAAAATATGATAATATAATAATATAATATAATATAAGACAACCTTCCCCCACATCTCATCAGTCCCTATCTTTTCCTATTTTTTTTTTTTTTTTTTTTTTTGTGTGTGTTATGTGCAATGTCTAAAGTGCATTAAAAGAGGGAGTACAGTGCGAGAATGTCTCAAATTGGGCCAGAGATGCTGTCCCGTTGAAACTACTTCTCGCCTGTCTTGCCTGCCTTGGTGTTTGCGATGTTTTTCCAAATATACTTATTCTTTTTTTTTTTTTTTTTTTTTTTCCTTTTCTATGTTGTGGTGCATTAAAAACCCATGAAGAGATAAGGGGGAAGTTATTGCATTAGTGATGATAATGACGCTTAATTCTAGTTCTACATTCTAATTCTACAGCATTGACAATGGCAATATTGATGATAATAATAATAATAATAATAATAATAATAATAATAGTAATAATAATAATAATAAATGACAATGATGATGGCAGTGGTGATCACAACGGTGAGAGCAAAAGACAGCAAAAACAGCAATTACAACAATGAAACAACTAAAAATAAAATAAAAGTGAAAGGTGTTACCACTAACTTCTATTGTATGGACCAAAATATTAGATAAAAAATACTTTAATTTGTGTTTCACAAGTCATATGTTTGGGTGAGTGAATGATGACCAAATTTTCATTTTTGGGGTGAACTATTCCTTTAAGGAACCTTAAATGTAGATTTGTTGGCATTACCAACGCATTCTCACCCCAAGGCGTCACCTTTGACCATGCTTCAATATTTGACGTTTTAGGCGCCCTTTAGCGTCACTTACATGACGCGATCCTACGGCGTCATCTAACTGACTCTAAAGGAAAGTGTCAGTTAGAGGATGCGGTTAGGTTTAGGTGTGGGGTGGGGGTAGGGTACACGCGATCCTCAGTTAAGTGACGCCTTGGGGGTGAGAATGGGCTGGCATTACTTAACTTAATGTAAAGTTGATTCAGTTGTGTTCTTTGTTAGTTGTAATATTTTGACCTGAATAATGTCTACAGCATGAATCACATTTTAAGCTTAACATTTTTACCAGATTTAATTTGTCTATTACAATCATCTAGACTTAACTTTCTTCTCGCCAACTCTGACTCTGATCTATGTGTAAAATATTGCAGTTAATCAGGTGATGCAAGTATGTGGATGAAAAGCTTTGATGTTATGAGATGTAAATGAGAAGCTTGATATCTTGTTATAATGCCACTGGCTACATCAGATATTACAGCAGTAGTAGGTCCCTCAAAATCGGTAGTACTTCATTTCGATTTCAGTTCTCATCAGAATTGCCTACAGCAGATGTTGACCTGTCTGTCTCAGACAGAATCTTTTCGTAACTTGTTCACAAGCATATTTTTCAGTCTCTTTGAAATTATCCTCTCACACATGTGCGACCCATTTACAGTTGTTTAGACGTGAGTTTGTGTTAGGGTCTATGATGTATGTTACAATTGAGAGAAACTGTCTAGATGTAAAATGTTTTCTCTCCCCCCCTTCTCTCTCTTTTCTCATCTATTTTTATAGATGACACCAAGATTGCGCTACATCTCAAAGACAATGGAGGTAAGATGTTAGTGTTGCCGCAGTGTATGTGGTATCAAAGTGCATATGTGAACTACACAGCAATACGCTGCACCACTCTGATCTCACTTTTCTGAAAAATAACAATCCATTTTTTCTGCTTATGTACAAAATGCACAAATAAGGCCATGCTGTGTGTGTGTGTGCGTGCGTGCATGTGGGGTTCAGGTATACCTGTATTGTGGGAACAAAATCATGGCAGCACAAAGAAGTCAAATCTAAATCCTTGTCCATGAGGAAAACATCTTACAAATGATTCTGTGATGAAAATATAAAAATGCAGGAAGTTTCCTTGATGGGAAGGGTTATGGGATGGGGATGGAATATACAATTTGTACAGTTTAAAAATCATTATGTCTATGGAATGTGTCTATAAAACATGAAAACCCAACATATATTGTATATATGCTCTCTCTCTCTCACACAAACACACACACACACACACACACACACTCCTTTTCGTCTCTCCCCTTCTGTATTCCCAGAATTCTGTTAGTATGATCCAGGTCATGTGTTTTTAATTTGGAGCAGGCTCAATATTTCTTTACCAGTCGGAAACGGCAGTCAGGGCTTCAACATTTCATCAGTAAAGATGAAAACAGCACATTCTGCCAATGAAAACATGTTGCCAGAAGAAAGCATTATCTAACCTAATGCAGAATAATATGAATGTTGTAATTCCTGATTTAAACTAGTATATATATATATATATATATATATATATATATATATATATATATATATATATAATACTGTGCAAAACTCTTAAAAAAGTTAGTTGCTTAAAAATGTCATTTATGTCTTTTGCTGTTGTGTGTCTGTGGGAAATATCAGTTTACATTTCCAAACATTCCTTTTGCCATCAATTGTAATAATCCAGTGAGTTTTGCATGCACAAGATGTCTGACAACAGCCAGTGTGTTCAGTGTACAATGTCCAATCCTTCATGATATCATGACTTCTCCTCCAGCCTACCAGGTTTTCTATAATCTACTTTCTTTTACAATAGCCAGTCGCTGCACTGTTTACAATATCTTCTGGTACTATGATCAGTTGTAAATGTATAGAATTAAAATAACATGCACCTTCATGCTAAAATATATAATATGATTATATAATAAAATCTTCATACTTGAAATCCCATGGTTAGGCTTGTCCGTCAAGAACAGCACGTCTCTTGGTAATTAACCTTAAGAGGAGACCTCTTGAAATTGTCCTTTTGTGACTGGAGGGGTGCTAATTTTACCATCTCTTTACACTGTAATGAAGGTGAATCTGGAATTTTTTTTAGGAGGAGATTTGGACCTTGGGGTCTGTGCTATTTAAACTAGTAAAGCCAAGGCTTCGCAAAAATCACATTTGATTTTAAAACTGATTTCAACAAAATGTCTCCATTAGTACTGCCGGCACTAAAGGAAAATGTCGACATCAGTTTCAGTTTCAATGAAGTCTAAAATGGTATTTGAAGGCATCAGGTAAAGAGTAATGACTAATCAGCACACTGACTGGTCACAGTTTTCTGTATGTTGTTTCAGTATGACAGTCATGAAGCCAGGCTGTCTTTGACTGCCAAGTTTTGCAGTTATTGAAAATAAACGAGTTCCACATGCTTAAGTGGGCTTTTTTTTCATGTGCACTTTTGGTTGTAATGGCAATAACAACAGAAGCCCTGCTTCATTATTAGTTTTTTGCTTCTTCCCTGCAATGTCTGTCAATCATTTTTGCACCATTTGACTTAAAGAACCGTATAATACACTTACTTTATATTTGGCTTTTCATTAAAGAAAAAATAATGATTTTTACTTTTAAAGCCAGTCATTTATCAGAAATTTCTGGACCCTAGACAAAAGAGATACAGAGTCAACAAATTACATGAGTCAAAGCATTACATATAAACTGCAATATTAAAATGAAATATAACAATGTAGAATAAAGTTATTTACAGAAAAGAAGAGCAATGACACCCTGTCAAGATACAGCATGTGCAGATGTTTTCACTAATTATGGAGCCACAGATATATAAAATGAAAGATAAAGTAGAGTTATAGAAGATATAAAAAAAAAATGTCCAAAAAAAGAATGTCATTAGTATCCGAAATGGACAAAAACAGTTGAAACATTATTCAAAATATCTTCCTTTGTAGGTTTCTAATGTCGTCAGGTTAATTTACTTGAAATAAATTAATTGAAAAATAAATTAATATTGAAAATATTTGTCTTGAATAAAATAAGTTAATTTAGATGTCACTACATAATGATAATGCATTTTTAGACATACAGTTTGTATGATTTACATTTAGAAAAAGCAGATCCAAATGGCATATGTACATTTATAATCGACACAGTAAGAAAAAAGAATGAGGTTTTCTTACTCATGGTAGTCTCAAAGCTGCCACAGAGTCTGCTCAGCAGGTTTTTATAGGAGCCTGGCTGCAGTGCAAAAACACAAGAACTGTAGACCACAGTTAATCTTTCTGGGGCCGGTTGGAATTGTCCGAAATACAAAATTAAGATTTACAGCTTTGTCTCTCTTCCATCATTAATCTTTTATCTGCCTGAAAGATACACAAGCCACAGAATCCCAAAGACGCAAACAGTATAAATTTGTTGTGGAGACAGTGCTCTCTTCTGTTCAAAAGACGAACTACAAGATTCAACCTTCAACTGGTTTCTTCAAGTAGGTACAGCTGCACACAGGAGATCTCCAAAATGTGGCATGAACTCCAAAAGTGGGCAGAACCTCCTAAAGGGGAGGGAGTTACGGACTGTAACGGACGGTGATCTCAGTGATCTCATTTCGTATGATCTTAATATCTCCTGGACTGCCATTTTCTTTAGCATGCCATTCAACACAAATCCCACCCTGCTGTCAATTTCATTGGTTAAGGTTAAGGTTTAGGGTAGGTTTAGTGGTTAAGATTTGTTATAGCATTAGGAAATCAGCACTGTGATTGACACCACCAATGAAATCTTCAGAATCGGCTGTGCGGCAGAGATTGCACTGAACTGGTGTAAAAAATCACACATGCATGTCATGTGTCTGTCTGTCAATAGGAGGAAGCTCCACCTTCATTTGGAGATCTCCTGCCTTAGCTATACCCTTTTCGGTTTATGAGGCAAGGATGAGATTGAGTGGGAAAAAAAAGAGCCTCCACTCTTGATTCATCCTCATTGAAAATATTACAAGCGGTGCAGTTACAGTATGAGTGAATGCATCAGTGTTAAGAAGTTTAAATACAATATAATGTGTGTTTCAGCTGCTGCAGCAAAAAGCACAGCAGAGAACAGCACTCACCCCCTGCACATGGGGCTGATTCTTGGGATGATCCTGCTTCTGCTCGTGATGGTGGCCATCGTCCTGGTGACCGTCTACGTCTACCACCACCCGAGCTCAGCTGCGGGACTCTTCTTCATTGAGGTGAGAGTGTGTAGGTTTAAAAAATAGTTCACCTAATAAAGACATTTAAAATGGTCTAGCTTCTTTTTGTCCATTGAAAACAAAAAAGGAGAATTTGTGAAGTGTGCTGGTCTTTATTTTCCATGCACTTACAAATGACAATGAATGGGTACAGAAGCTTTCAGAAAAGGTTGCAAAAAACAGCACCATAAAAGAAGTCAAGTTGGATTTGTGAACAAATAATTCTGTGTGATCCATTTCATCGTATATTTCTGTGAAACCCTGCTGAAAAATTCAGCATAAACCAGCATGACCTAATTTTCCGATTAGCCATGTTTTATATTTTTGGGCCACTGTTATGCACCTTTGAAAAGTACAGAATCTCCGGATCAAAACACAAGCGAACAAAAAGCAGAAACAAGTGATTGAAGATTCCTTATGTAAATGTAAAACAATACGATCATCAAACTTTAAACAGCATATAAATAAAAACTGCTTTGTATGTAAATGGCATTATATGACCCCTTTAAAGGTGCAGTGTATAGATTTTAGTGGCATCTAGCGGTTCAGGATATCCAGATCCACCAAAGGAGGGAGAGCATTTTCACATTTAGCTCCGAAGCTCTGGAATAGCCTTCCTGATATTGTTTATTGCTCAGATTCGCTCTCCCAGTTTAAAGCTATAAAGACGCATTTATTTTGCTAGGCATTCATATACATTTTTTATCGTACAGTTACTGTAAATTTGGCCTCTAGTTCATAAACGCCAGAGGAGAAGTGGCCCCCGACTGAGCCTGGGTTCTCCCAAGGTTTTTTTTTTTTCTCCATTGGGTCATCTGGTGGAGTTTTAGGACACCATCGGGTCACTTGATGGATTTTTTTTCGGTTCCTTGCCACTGTTGCCTTGCTCAGTTGGGGATATTCAAATTAAATGACCCATCATTGATCAGCTCTACCAAAAAACTACCTACCTTGCCTTTAAAGTGCAAACAGAATATAGCCTAAATAGTAAACTATAAGTATGATGTTATGTGTATTTAAATAAAACTTACAAGTAGGCGAATATCCTTACAATATAATTCGGTAACCCTTTATTATATACTTTAACTTTACTTAAGCATACTTGATAAAATGATCTTGAAGAGCAGGATTTAGAGCTGGTATAGTGCTGGTCTTGCTGGTGGGCCAAAATAGTAATGCTGTTAAGTCAAACTTTTTTTCTGTTGGTGACCAGAAATGCTTTATTTTTAAGCAGGCAAGAAAATATTATGGTGTTTTTGCATTCTTGAAAGCTTCAGTCCTCATTCATTGTTGTTAAAATTAATTGTTTGCTCTGTTATTAAGGCAAGAAAGTCTGGAATGGTCTGGAATGACATGATGGAGAGTAAATGACAATATTGCCATTTTGTGTGAACTATTATTTATTAAAAGCAAAAAAGGGATGCAGAGATTCAATAACTGCAAAATGTTAAAGGAATAGTTCACTTAAAAATGAAAATTCTGTCATCATTTACTCACCCTCAAGCTGTGTCAAACATTTATGAGTTTCTTTCTTCTGCTGAAAACAAAAGATGAAATTTTGAAAAATGTCAGTAACCAAACAGTTGATGGACCCCATCAACATTCATACTGTGACACAATTGATGGTGATACAATTTTAATTTTCAAGGGATACTCCACTTTTTTTTGGAAATAGGCTCATTTTACAACTCCCCCAGAGTTAAACTGTCGAGTTTTACCGTTTTTGAATCCATTCAGCCGATCTCTGGTTCTGGCGGTACCACTTTTAGCATAACTTAGCATACATCATTGAAGTGCACAAGACCATTAGCATTTCTCAAAAAAAAAAAAAAGACCTAAGTGTTTTGATATTTTTCCTATATTAAAACGTAACTCTTCTGTAGTTACATCGTGCACTAAGACAGACGGAAAATGTAAAGTTGCGATTTTCTTGGCTGATATGGCTAGGAACTATACTCTCATTCCTGCGTAATAATCAGGAAACTTCACTGTCGTACCCTGAGTGCAGCAGGTGTAATGATATGACGCATCGCCTGAAATAGTCCCCTGCTCGGTAACTTCCAACGTGATGGAAGGTAGCCTATTTTCAGGCAGCACCTGCTGCACTCGGGGAATTGTAAAATGAGCCTATTCCGAAAAAAGTGGAGTATCCCTTTAAGTGAAGACTATTCTTAATTCAGGAATGTTTGTTGGCAAAATGTATCATTATCAAATTCATACATTTACAGAGACGTCCCAGCCGATGGTCAGCGATGAAATTTCGCAGAGGTTCTGGTCATCCAGCATACGCAGAGGTAGAGCCTATGGGTCAAGAAAAAGAAGGCTTTATTGAATCAGAGCAGTGCTGAGATTTGACCTTTGACTTCTTAAGTCACACACAGCCCAGCAACCTTCTTGGTGTCTTGCTACAAATCCACACATCTCAAATCATTCCACCAACCCCTGTGAACACTGACGAAACTGAAAACAGTGAGGGTGTGGCGTTTGAATGAAAGAGGCATCCATAAAAGGAATGCTTGGATCCAGCTTTTAACACTCCAAAAAAACATCTACATTCAGAGGAAACGTTCAGCCGCTTCTGCTCGGCTCCTGTCATGACGTGGGGAGCAGCTCTGGAAACCTTGATTGTACTGGATGAGGCTTTGACTTTTCACCCCCAAAATCCCCATTGAACTGAAGGCGAATTCTCTGATTTGATGTGCCTCTCAGAGATTTTTCTTGTCTTGACAGTTTCTGAACTGCATATTCATTATATAGACCTTTATGTTTTAAAATGGGTTTTTATGGGGTTTTTTTTCAGATTATTTTTGCCATATTCGCTTATGATTTTATCTCTTTGATTCGAACTGATGTTTTGGAGTATGGTGGATGACTTTCCACAGTTATAGATACTGTGTCTCTTCCTCTTGTTTGTATACAATTGGAAAATGTTCTGTGAACAAATGTGCCAACAGTATTGATTAAAATTTTTCATCCATATTCCAACCATTTAGGCCATTTTGCACATATCCACTTAATGCACATATATCGCTTTTTTCAAGTTTAATTTTCCCTCAACTTATGTTACTAATGCATATTTACAAGACAGGCGCTTGTGAGATTGCGTGTGTGCATCTTTGTTTGGATTTTTCTGTTGTTGTTTTTGTCGTTATATTGCGGTACACGATCCCTTACACTGACAGTCCTTCCATTGAGTTGTTATATCATTTTCAATAAAGAGCTCTCCCTCTGCTGTCAAGGTCATCTCAGTCAAAGATTAGTAGCAGTGGAATTGGTTGACTGATTTAGTTATGGCACATTTTATTACCTTTAAAAATGTATCCTAAAGACATTTTGAATATTGTGACCAAAGAACTGTCATCATTACACACAAACAGAATATATGGAATGAAAACAATTTAAAAAAAAAGGCCTACTTGTTGAGATGGACAGTAGTTGATATTTTTTGTCTTCTGTTTCATTATTTCAGCAAACCTATGCATTGGGGCAGTTCCTGAAAGTGTATTTTCTTTTTCAATGTCTTTTAGGCATTTTTAATAATGCATGCAAGGGATATTTTTCCTCCTCTTGTATTATCATCATAACAGGGTGGCTCACCAAAAATCAAGGTCTAAATTCTATTTTTATCAACTTTCTTCACTGGAAGACCTGATTATTTTCAGCAGATGTATGTTGTGTGTGTGTGTGTGTGTGTGTGTGTGTGTGTGTGTAAACACTAAATCTGAATGTATATGAGTGCACATTAATATGGGGTCTGAAGTGGATGTTTATTTTGTGAAATAATCTCAAAGAAAATGTTTGTTGAAGGAGATCAATGTCCTGTTCAGCAGTGATGTCTGCAATCAGAATTCGAGGAAACAAACATAATTATTAGCGACCTGCATTTTTGATAATCATAATCATCATGTTGTGCCACACATTGAGAGACAGTGAAATGCACAATGCTGTAATCTGTGTAATCTTGTGTTACTACTGTCAATTTGATTACATAATAAAATTTGCTTAAATAATAAATTAATGATTCTGTTTAACTCTTTCCCCAGCAGCATTTGTTTTTAAGTTTGCCATTTTTTTTTTTTTTTTTGTTGAAAAGGAAGCATATGCAGCCACTGTCTTCTTCCACAACCAGGCACTGCACAATATTTTGTATTTCTCAGTAGATCGATCTGGTTTGTCATCAACGAGGTAGGCATCTATGTTATTTAGCTAGGCGTGTTATGCGTGAATTGTGGCCAGGGCTAAACCGGCCGTGTTGAAGTAGGCGTTGATCTTCTTCTGCGGGGGTGGTCTTTTATCCTCTTTGACGTCATAGTTCCCCACTTTTAAAAACGAGTCGTTTGCTGAGCCTGGTGTGAATTAAAGCTTTTATTGGACTAACAAGGACGTTTTCAGTTCTGAAACTTACAGGATATTCTTATAATATGATAACCTCTTAGATATCAAAAGCTCAAGGAAAATTAGATTTCTCAGTTCATAATCAGTAGTGGGAAAAGACTGGGGAGCAAATACACAATAATTACTTACATGGCTCTAATGAGGGCAACAATTGATAATGGATGCTATGTATGGAGCAACAGCTGAAAAAACATAGTTAGTAATAAAGCATTGAGGATTTGTCTGAGTGTAATGAGATCAACACCAATTATAGGAATACAGGTGAAGTTAGGAGAAGTGCTCTTACACCTGAGAATATAAACTCATGCTTACATACTGGAGTCAATTAAGAGGATGTGGGAATGAAAACCATGCAAAGAGTAATGATTCAGGAATGTTGGGACTGGAGTATAGTTCTTTTAAAGGCTTTGGCTGGGTAACTAGACTAAATCAGGCTTCGTTGTATACGACAGAGATGATGCGATTAAGACTGCAGTGGGTTGAGGAAGTAAAACCAGACAGAGTGTGTGTTGTGTTGATTCTGTTGCAGCCCTTTGTTTCATAGCTGCCAACTCTCACGCATTGGCCGTGAGACACCCGCATTTGATTGGTTTCACACGCTCACACGCCACACCCCCGATTTCTCACGCTGAAGTGTCAACCCTCCCGTTTTTCCGGGTTTCTCACTTATTTTAGCTCTTTTACTGTCTTCCCATGTTAGTATTTCCCATAAAATATCTCGTATTTTTACACTCTGATTGTGTGAGACGTACAAGCTCAGACAGATTCGGCTTGAAGTCGATCGTCCTCGGATGCGGTTCCGTGCGCGCTGTAACAAAATAGCTTTGCACACAGCTCGAAGTGAGGTCTTGCCGGTCTTGCGCACCCAACGCGTCATTTTTAATGCGCTTGTGCAGACGCGTCGAGTATAAACAAGGCTTTACTCCATGTCAGCGCGCGCAGAGACCTCAAGGTGAGACCTCTCCCAATCATCTCCAGCAGAAGCAGCCTCCCCGTTTCCCTCGTACGCTGAAACATTCTCTATGGGATTTTTTTTTTAATGACACAGCGCTTTTTCTCACACATATGTGGGCTAGTTCTAAACTCTTTAGACTTTTTGATTATTGAATCGTGAGAAAAAATGGTTCCTGGAAAATGGATGGTTCCTGGGAAATCTCCCTTTGATGTTGACAGCTATGGGTCAGTCAAATGCCTGAAAGATGAGTTTATCTATTGATCTATCTGTTGGGCAACTCGTGATCCACTAGTTATACCGCAAATTAGTTACAAATCTCCCGTGATATATAGCGAACGATTCCACCCCCCCCCCCCGTCAACAGATCTCACGCCAAGCAAAACTCAAAAGTTGGCAGGTATGTTGTTTTATTCAAAATAGGAAATCTAACTGAGAAGATCTAATGCTAGAAATACAAAAAAGTTTATTTAGATTACAGAGACTACAGAAAGATGATGAAATGAAATGGCAGGACAGGTGGGATATGGATAAAAATGGAAGGAAATATCACAGCTTGCAAAAATCTATTAATTCTCAGGGTGTGAATAGAAGTAACAGAAGAGAGGAGGGCGTTTTAACCAAGCTAAGGTTTGACACAGCGTTAAATAAAACATTGTTTTAATGGGCAAAAGTCAATCAGATCATTGTTTGGAATGCAGGTCCAAGGAAGATGTTAAACATGTACCTACCATTACATTGTAGGAAACATAGGGATGAGAGGATGAGGCTAAATCAAAAGATAAGCAGGAAGGAAGTGGAACCTTGAAGTTTTATCACGCACAACAGGAAATGGGGCAACGTATACATAGAAAGCAGTTGTACAATATCTGAAAAATATAGCGATAGCCTATATATTAGGATTTCTTTTTTATTGATTTATTTTTATTTATATAAAGTAAAGTAGTCCCAACGAACATAGTTCATGCTACATACTCCGATACAGTAGGTGGCGGTATGCAACTTCAAAAGTCATGGTTGCAATCTGCCATGAAACCAACGAGGAGAAGAAGAAGCAGAAGAAGAAGCTGTGACGATATGGCTGTAGACCTTTTTTTTTCTCACCTTGACGAAGCACTTTTTTATTGAATATGTATCAAATAACAAGCAGGTATAAAGCACAGAACACATAGAACTCCGACATGTTATATCAAGTAGACCCTGTAGACCAGAGACCAGACGGGCTTTGCTGTGACGCTGCAGTCACATGTTTCTCTGTCAGCGACATCTGTATTTTGATTGGATAAACAGTTTCAGTACAACTGTAGCACCAACTCAGTCCAGTGTGGTTCCTAATCCTAATATACTGGTATTCATGATCTGTGCCTTTCTATGGGCTTCTCGGTGTAATTAACACATACTCCGCAGTCCTGAGAAAATCTGTTTTGAATTCCGGGTGAATGGCTGAAGCCTTCGTTACAGGTAACGTAAGCAGTTATGGCTAACGTACTCATACAGCTAACTAACGTTAGCTGTAGTGAAGTAAGTGTGTGTGTATGTGTTTACGAATGTGACGGTGAACTCAGCCTTTTATTAATTCAATATCTCAGTATTTGGAAAAAATAAAATAAAGAGATGTTTTGTAACAACTTTACGTGATTTATTTCACAGTTCTAAGAATAATATTCAGTCATCGTCACATCACGTCTCGTCCATAAGGTCGATATGTAAGGAAGTTGGCTAACAAGTGAAAAACACGAAAGAGTATCAGTAAATGCATGAATCATATTTCTATCTGGTCGACACTCGACAAACCTTCTAAACACTATAGAGAAAAATAGGTGACGTATATTCCTTGCCATGTGACGTTTCAGCATGTTGCCAAAAAAAAAGCTGTGTCAGTATCAGAGTGTACACAATGTACAGTGCTTACAAAGCATCCAGTCATAACAATAGATAATGCAGGGAAGAGATGGATTACTGACTGGGCCTATGGGGCCAGTGCCCAGGGGCCCTTGATTACCAGAAGCCTGGGGGCTTCTGGTAATCCAGTTTGGTTCAGAAAACCCATTAACAATGAAAACAAATGTTTATTAATCCTGTAATATATCTGTCCCATAGCCTACACAAGGCCTCTTAAACAAGGCTTTTGGATTCTGAGGGCTCCCTGGAACTTACTGTTGGGCCCTATGTGAATATGAAGGCCCCAAAACCACTTATAGAACTATTGTCACTCTTTGAGCTTATTTTTGTGTGTGAAAAGTATTGGAAAAATAACTATTTATTATTACATTATTACAAGAGACTGCATTTTTAAACATTGCCTAATTTTTTTTTTATTTGCCTCATTTGCATAATGTTTTATTGTCTAATTATAAGTGATCCAACAAATTGCCCTTGAGTAAGCAACAGAGTATGTTTTAGTAAAAACATACACCAGATGCACCTTCAAATAAAAAAGTAGATATTTGAATACATTGCTTGATATTTGATAACGTTCGAATTAGATTTTTCTCAAAACATCCCTATTGAGGGGGGTTGGGCCTCAGTTTTTCTAAATCCGGGGGCAAGAAAAGTTTTCTACATGTTAAAGTTAAATGCATTAATCTGAACTTTTAGAGTTCAAACATATAAAAGCTGTGTTCAAGTTCCGTGTTCAGCAGGTTCGTGTTCCATGAACAGCCTATGCATAGCCTATAAATCATTATAAAGGATTGTAAAAAAAAGTCATCATAAGTGTATTGTGATTCTCAAAACATTTGCTGACCAAACAGAATTTTATTAAGTTTCGTAACAACAACATGTAACAATGCTTACATCAATTAATTTGGATAAATATCAGGTAGGCTACCTTATAAAGTTAGGCCTACAGTACATGTTAATTTTTCCTCTGAAGGAAATCTCTCACTAGTGATGTAAATATAGGCTAAAGGGAATTGGTATTATAATTAAAGATTAAAATGAACAAATCAAATATAATGCCGTTTTTATAATAATGTTAACTTACAATATTTTAATGATTTGATGAATAATTTTAGTGCATATATTTAGCAAAAATGATCTCTATATGCTTGGTTAATTTTTAGCTAGGCTGTGGTCATTAAATGGGTTTTCTGAGGTAAGTTACGTGACAGGCTATTGTTCTCCAGTTGTTTAATTGACCTATGTCCACGTTTGAAGCACTGATTAAGTGATTACATGAGAAATGACACATTTCAGCAAGTTGTAGGCTACTGTATCTTCCAACATGGTTAATTCAAATTGATTTACTAACTAAAGAAGACCTTAGATCTAAGCTGAGACCCTGTTTCATATTATAAGTAACCTGCCATGTCTTGTCTATCAATGTCAGTGTCCTCTTTGTCAGACTTTTGGAGATACCTGGCTCCAGGGCCATTACAAGTCATAATCCGTCCCTGAGATAATGGTATAGTTATAAAGTCAAAGGGCAGAAAATAATCCTGTCAACCATTTGTCTTCACTTTTAGACACATCAAAGTTGAATCCAGAGTCTGCTGAGTTTGTACCGCAAGCTAAAACCAAGCAGCCCCACTCTAGGAGAAGTTACAGGCAGCTGGACCACAGTCAGGACTGGGGGGCTCAACATGTTAGGCCTCATCCTCACTTTAGACAGTTCAGTGCGACTGATCACAGTCAAAATGAGTCTGAAAACCCTGCCGGCAAGACA